CAGCTAACGAATGCAGCTAGCTAGTTTGGCCTACTCAAACACCCGGCTCAAACAGAGAGGGATGCTATGTTAGCTAGCTGGCTATGGCTATTCAACACTGGAAGTCTTCCAAGTCAAGGTAAGCTTTTGGCTTTATATATTTATTGCCACCGGGTCCAGGCAGTGTAACTGCTAAACTTCTTGCTGTACACTACTGCATGATTGTAGCGGGTTTACTAACGCGTTAGTTCTAGTAGCTATGCTGACTAGTATGTTAGCTAATATGGTGACAACGATGTAGGCTGTGTGTAGTGGTTAGCGGTTATGGTATGAAGGTTTGGCTCTGAAAGGTTTTTTCGCCTGTTCACAGACAGCTATTGTGTTGTGCAATGAATTCCACAAGCGAAGGGAAAAGGTGAGAGGAGGACAGTAGATGTGAGAAGGAATTATACTATGAGCAAAGTGAATATGCTGTTTGTATGTGGCTGCTATGAAAGTGAACTGTGTTTGCGGGTGATTAGAGGTGTATTCATTCTGCCGATTCTGTTGAAAAATGTTTCTTAAATGGAAGCAAATGGAACGAAACGGAGATAAACATACCTGAGTTTATCCAATAGAAACTCTCGTTTGCAACTGTTGGACTAATGATTACACCCTAGATAATCTAGATGCAGGCAAGAGTGTGCAAGGCGGTATTGAATGTGTCACTGTCTGTCACCTTGATTACTCCAATTTTTCTCTCGACCTGTGCACCTACTTTGTAAACTTTCATTCATAGGCTAGGTTGTAGCAACTTCTTGATGGTTATAGCGAAAATTTGAGTATCATGTAGTAGCCTAAACCAATCAATGCTACATTGAGCTGGGTGAATGGAATATGAATGCTGTAATAGAAATAAGGCCATGCTCATAAATTTTCTTTATCGTCCTCCCTCATCTTAAACGGCACCGACTGCCACTGACGCACACACACATGCACACACATCACACACACCCATATTAAGGTTTTCTAAGCAATAGTCTTCAGTTTATAACATAAGAAGCATTTACTTTTTAGTTTAGGCATCATTGTTAATGACATTTTACATACAGTACAGTATGTGTTATGCATCATGTCAGTCTGTTGCATCACATAAAACACACCCTAAACACAAAAATCTATGAGTCTCCCCTGATACAGAGATCTTTGTTTCTTCTATCTGATTTCAAGTGGGATTTCTGCAAGGGTTTAATATAAACTCTTTAGGAAACGCAGGGGTGTGATTGGGATAGAATTGTGTACTGTGGCTCTCTCTCACTCTTTATGTGTGTGTGTGTGTGTTTGTTTATGTTTGTCTGTTTGTGTGTTAATGTGATTTATTGGATAATTCTTCTACTAAGTGGGAAGGCGTGGGGCTTTAGTGAAATGATTTACTGTAGATCTGAGTGTGAGGGAGGAAGAACAGTGTCTCTGTGTGTTGAGTGTTGGATTCAAGCATTGTCGGACAAGGCTTTTGCTGTAGTTACCAGGGGGAGTGGGTGGTGTCCTGTGCTGGTACGAATCATTCTTATTGCAACTAATGGAGTTTCTTATTCGCTTGGTACTACGCTCTCCGTAGCCGACGTGAGTAAGACCTTTAAACAGGTTAACATTCACAAGGCCGCAGGGCTAGACGAATTACGAGGACGCTTACTCAGATCATGCGCTGACCAGCTGGCAAGTTTCTTCACTGGAATTTTCAACCTCTCCCTGACCCAGTCTGTAATACCTACATGTTTCAAGCAGACCACCATAGTCTCTGTGCCCAAGAACGCCAAGGTAACCTGTGTAAATTATCCGTAGCACTCACATCTGTAGCCATGAAATGCATTGAAAGGTGGTTCACATCAACACCATCATCCCAGACACCCTGGACCCACTCCAATTCGCATACCACCCCAACAGATCCACAGATGAAGCAATCTCTATTGCACTCCACACTGCCCTTTCCCACTTGGACAAAAGGAACACCTATGTGAGAATGTTGTTCATTGACTACAGCTCAGCGTTCAACACCATAGTGCCCTCCAAGCTCATCACTAAGCTAAGGTCCCTGGGACTGAACACCTCCCTCTGCAACTGAATCCAGGACTTCCTGACGGTCCGCCCACAGGTGGTGAGGGTAGGCAACAACACATCTGCCACGCTGTCCTCCCGGTTCACCCACGGCTGCGTGGCCGTGCACCACTACAACACCATTATTAAGTTTGCAGATGAAGTAGGCCTGATCACCGATGACGATGAGACAGCCTATTGGGAGGAGGTCAGAGACAACAACCTCTCCACAACATTCTCACTCAGGACGGCAGGTAGCTTAGTGGGTAAGAGCGTTGTGCCAGTAACCGAAAGGTCGCTGGTTCTAATCCCCGAGCCGACTAGGTGAAAAATCTGTCGATGTGCCCTTAAGCAAGGCACTTAACCCTAATTGCTCCTGTAAGTCGCTCTGGATAAGAGCGTCTGCTAAATGACTAAAATGTAAATGTATTAGTAAGACAAAGGAGGAAACAGAGTGCCCCCCCCCCCCATTGAGCTGAGCTCCCTGCCATCCAGGACCTGTATACCAGGCGGTGTCAGAGGAAGGCTACTGTCTATTATCTATCCTGTTGCCTAGTCACTTTACCCCTACCTATTTTCACCTTTACCTATATGTACAGTATATAGCTACCCCAATTACTTTGTACCCCGGGCAGCGGAGCGGAAATGGAAGAAAACTAAACTCCCTGCCGACCTGGCATCTTTTCACTCCCTCCTCTCTACATTTTCTTCATCTGTTTCTGCTGCTAAGGCCACCTTCTACCACTCTAAATTCCAAGCATCTGCCTCTAACCCTAGGAAGCTCTTTGCCACATTTTCCTCCCTCCTGAATCCCCCCCCCCCCCCTCCTCTCTCTCTGTGGATGACTTCGTCAACCACTTTGAAAAGAAGGTTGACGACATCCGATCCTCGTTTGTTAAGTCTAATGACACTGCTGGTCCTGCTCACACTGCCCTACCCTATGCTTTGACTTCTTTCTCCCCTCTCTCTCCAGATAAAATCCTGCGACTTGTGACTGCAGGCCGCCCAACAACCTGCCCGCTTGACCCCATCCCCTCCTCCCTTCTCCAGACCATCTCCGGTGACCTTCTCCCCTACCTCACCTCGCTGATCAACTCATCCTTGACCGCTGGCCATGACCCTTCCGTCTTCAAGAGAGCGAGAGTTGCTCCCCTTCTCAAAAAACCAACACTCGACCCCACTGATGTCAACAACTACAGACCAGTATCCCTTCTTTCTTTTCTTTCCAAAACTATTGAGCGTGCCGTCTTTAGCCAACTCTCTTGCTATCTCTCTCAGAATGACCTTCTTGATCCAAACCAATCAGGTTTCAGGACTGGTCATTCAACTGAGACTGCTCTTCTCTGTGTCACGGAGACTCTCCGCACTGCTAAAGCTAACTCTCTCTCCTCTGCTCTTGTCCTTCTAGACCTGTCTGCTGCCTTTGATACTGTGAACCATCAGATCCTCCTCTCCACCCTCTCCGAGCTGGGCATCTCCGGCGCGGCTCACTCCTGGATTGCGTCCTACCTGACCGGTCGCTCCTACCAAGTGGCGTGGCGAGAAGCTGTCTCCGCACCACGTGCTCTCACCACTGGTGTCCCCCAGGGCTCAGTTCTAGGCCCTCTCCTTTTCTCCCTATACACCAAGTCACTTGGCTCTGTCATATCCTCACATGGCCTTTCCTATCATTGCTACGCTGACGATACACAACTAATCTTCTCCTTTCCCCCTTCTGATAACCAGGTGGCGAATCGCATCTCTGCATGTCTGGCAGACATATCAGTATGGATGACGGATCACCACCTCAAGCTGAACCCTGGCAAGACGGAGCTGCTCTTCCTCCCGGGGAAGGACTGCCCGTTCCATGATCTCGCCATCACGGTTGACAACTCCGCTGTGTCCTCCTCCCAGAGTGCGAAGAGCCTAGGCGTGACCCTGGACAACACCCTGTCGTTCTCCGCCAACATCAAGGCGGTGACCCGCTCCTGCAGGTTCATGCTCTACAACATTCGGAGAGTACGACCCTGCCTTACACAGGAAGCGGCACAGGTCCTAATCCAGGCACTTGTCATCTCCCGTCTGGACTACTGCAACTCGCTGTTGGCTGGCCTCCCTGCCTGTGCCATTAAACCCCTACAACTCATCCAGAATGCCGCAGCCCGTCTGGTGTTCAACCTTCCCAAGTTCTCTCACGTCACCCCCCTCCTCCGCACACTCCACTGGCTTCCAGTTGAAGCTCGCATCCGCTACAAGACCATGGTGCTTGCCTATGGAGCAGTGAGGGGAACGGCACCTCTGTACCTTCAGGCTCTGATCAGTCCCTACACCCAAACGAGGGCATTGCGTTCATCCACCTCTGGCCTGCTGGCTCCCCTTCCTCTGCGGAAGCATAGCTCCCGCTCAGCCCAGTCAAAACTGTACGCTGCTCTGGCACCCCAATGGTGGAACAAGCTCCCTCACGACGCCAGGACAGCGGAGTCACTCACCACCTTCCGGAGACATTTGAAACCCCACCTCTTTAAGGAATACCTGGGATAGGATAAAGTGTTCCTTCTAACCCCCCCCCCCCCCCAAATTGTAAAGTGGTTATCCCACTGGCTATAGGGTGAACGCACCAATTTGTGAGTCGCTCTGGCTAAGAGCGTCTGCTAAATGACGTTAATGTGCCCTTGAGCAAGGCACTTAACCCTAATTGCTCCTGTAGGTCGCTCTGGATAAGAGCGTCTGCTAAATGACTAAAATTTAAATGTACTCCCTGTATATAGTCATGTTATTTTTACTCATAATTTTTATTTGTTTTTCACTATGTATTTATTCCCTGTATCACTATTTCTATATTTTATTTAATCTTATCTTTAACTCTGCATTGTTGGAAATGGAACCGTAAGTAAGCATTTCACTGTTGGTCTACACCGGTTGTCTACAAGCATGTGAGAAATAATATGTGATTTGATTTACTGTCCTTTTGAAAGCCCTGTGACTGACCCCAGCAGATTTGTTTGACCCTACAGGCTCTCCGTACTACAATAACGTCAGACCCCTGTGCTACAGCGACTCAGACGCTGTGCTCCTCTGTTTCGACATCAGCCAACCAGACTCATTTGACGGTGCACTGAAAAAGGTAAGGCCCTTGTCTTTGTGATCATCATTGCTGTTGTCAATTTCTTCTTCCTCCTCATCGTTTGCCATCATCACATTCATCATGATCATTCTCTCTGTGCACACGTTACATCTGTGGTGATGATACATTATAACAACCTCCTGACAGCCATATGTCCTTTTCGTTGCAGTGGAAGACAGAGATCTTGGATTTCTGCCCCAGCACACGCATCCTCCTGATAGGCTGTAAAACAGACCTGCGCACAGACGTGTGTACGCTCATGGAGCTGTCCAATCAGAAGCAGACACCCATCTCACATGAGCAGGTGAGTCTTACATATTTCTCTCTCTCTCTCTCTCTTTGGTCTCTCGCTTTCTCCGTCTCACTCCTGTTCTTTCCCCTTCTTGCTGCAGGGCTCCTCCATGGCCAAGCAGCTAGGTGCAGAGGCCTACTTGGAGTGTTCGGCCTTCACCTCAGAGAAGAGCATTCACAGTGTCTTCCGTACTACAGCCCTGGCCTGCATCAGCAAGCTGCAGCCCTCCACCAAGACCAGCCCCGCCCGACGCCTCTCCAAGAGACTCCTTTTCCTGCCCAGCAAGTCTGACCTCCTCTCCTCCACCTTCGGCAAGGACAAGGCCAAGGGCTGCTCCATCATGTGAGGGAGGGGGAAGAACCCAGACTGGGGTGGCCAGAGATGCACGCCATTGAACAGTCCAACGGGCAAAAGGGGGTGCAAGGTGGTAGAGGGGCAGGGGAATCGGAAGTAAGGGGGAAGGAAGGGGTTTCTCTTGAACCCCTCTGGCCTCCCCCAACGTCCTCCCCAGTCACCACCACCACTGACGCCTCTCTTAAAAAAAACTGCCACCCCTCCATGGTTTACTCTGTATAGGATATACTGGTCCTCTTCATGATCACCCCCCCACAAGCACACACAGACCCATACACACCACACCATCATAGCTTTGTGTAGACTTCCTTTTATAATGACAGTGAGAGCAAAAGGTGGCAACTAAATTATTTGTTATTTTGCCCACACTCATGATAGGTGTGTGTTTTAGGGAGGTGATAATTTACAGCATTCCAGTTCTAGAAAGTTGTGTACTACTCACAGGTACACAACAGCATGCACTTCAAGGTGTTAACCTGAAACATTGTGGAGGCCTCTGCTGTTACTATAGCAGCTAGCTAACGCTCCTCTCTACGCAGTGCTGTGTGCCAGTTAGAGCTGATTTAGGGTAAGTTTCTACACTCTTTCTTTTCCGAGAAAATAGCAGTTGTAAACATGGCATCTCATCACGTTTCTTCTGTGAGACCTCTTTGGAATGTCGACGTGTGTGCTCTCTGCCATCCATCTGTCATCCTTGCTCTAGATGAAAGTTTTAACTTGAAAAGGATAAGGTGGCCACCTCTACATTCCGGGCAATGAGATGGAACGGTACCCAGAGTACCCAGAGTAATGCAACTGGGGGGGTTGAGAGAGTGGGCCTTAAAGGAATTATTTCCATGGTGACCTTTGCAGTTATTATTTTAGGAAATTGAATCTGTCAGTAATGAAACAGGATCTGGGGGAGGGATTTAGCAAGCACACCACTCTTAAAAGAGGCAGTGGGGAGGATGGACTGATAGAGTGTATGTCTGAAGAAGTGCAATATGACTCAATGTTCAATGGGCTACTAACAGTAAGATGGAGGACATGCTTTGCTGTGACCAGGGAAGAACTGGGGATGATGGAAAGACAGATTTCTCTTCAGTCACTCTTTCAGTCCTGATGGCCTCTCTTCTTCATCTCAATTTGTTTAACTTCAGACATTGATGGAGTGGAATGACATTACAGTAGGCCACCTATACTGTTTTTATTAAGATGATAAACAGAGCTGGCTTGACTGCAGCACTGGTGGTGGTTTCCCCACTTAAAAACTAATCGTGTTTAAATTTTTTATAAAAAACATGAATTAATTGAATGTGAGCCACCTGTTTCCTCTGATATGAAAGGAGAAGAGTCCTGGTTCCTCTAAACCTCATTTGGATAATTCTTCATCTTAAATCCACTGGCCTTACAGTTACGTAACACATAAAAGAGAAATAATCCTTAACTTTGAGCTTTTAACCATAGCATTGAAAGAGTCAAGAGCTCACTCACTATGCCTCAACAAGCTCACTGGTGGTGGGAATCAGCTGAGTATGTCATTGTCAACACTGGGCTGAAAGAGAAGTCGCCTTCCTGCTCCACAATTGGTCACCTGAGATGAGACTCTCTGGAGTCGTCATTCTTGTAGTATGGCTGGCCATTATTGATGAGAGTACAGGATCAAGGCCTTTACAAAGATGGGTATCTCATTCATACTTTGTGGAGAGCTTAAGAAATGTAGATGGGGTAAAGGTTCCGGGAGGGTGGTGAGGGGTGGGGGTGGGTGGGATGGGTGGGTTTGAGCCGAAACAACTAACAGGCTGGTCCTGTCCGAAGTAAGTTATTTTTTCTGCTTTGAAATCTTTTAAGTATAAGGTGATTTATATTTTAAAGTTTTTTGTAATCTGCTTTCTGCCCAGTCTTTTTTAATTGTAGTTGCTGTTTTTGTCATTGTTGTTGTTGTACTCACTGAAGTCATATTTTATTAGGAGCTGTCTGCGGCCCGGCTAATAGAGGACTGGTTTGCACAGACAGTTGCACAGAGTTGTTTGGACTGGTTTGCACAGAGTTGTTTGGACTTACAGAACACTGGAGGTGTTGCTTAGCAACAGTGTGAGCAGGGGCAGAAGTCAGCAGAATTGTGGTGACTGGGGTGCAGTTCCTGGCTCTGAGAGAAAAGAAAGATGGCTCTCCAACTGTGCATCTCACCTTTCATTTGTAGCATCAGAGACCACTGCTAAGGTGACAGCTGGACATTTCAGTTAGTAGTACACTGCTGAAAACATCTGAAAAAGAATTTGAAGCCTCCAAAGTGGCAGCTCAGTGGCAGGTGTCAGAACAACACAGGTACCAATTTGAGTACCTTTTCTAACCTGAGTTCCCAGCAGTGAGTGAAGAAGCTCCAAATCTGCCTGGAGTGACTGAAACACTGTTCAGAAAAAAGTCAATTTGACTGAATACACAGCCGTCATCATGTTACAGTTTCTGCTCCCACTCCTTTGCTAAGAACAGACCATGTCTGGTTGTACATATCCTGCTTTATATTCCATTAGTAAAGCTCCAAATAGAATGTTGTTGGAACAAAACAAAGTGTTTGTGTTATGTAAAATGGCTTAACCTTAATTTATTAATGAAATACTGTATTGCTCAATGTTGTCGTTTTATTTTTGACATGTACATTTTTGGGGGAATTCTTAATTTGAATGGACACTGAATTTTGTTTTCTGTCCATACGTTTTCTCTTGGGTTCTGAATAAAGCTTGCCTTTGTTGATCATATTCTCAGATGTCTCTGAGTTTTTGTGGAGTGCAGGTTTGGTGGGCCATAAGGGGAAAAGCAACATCTATAAATTGTTGTGAATGTTTCTGAGGCATTATAACATGTGAAGGTGCCTTAAGTAAAGTGTTATCAACATACAGTATGAAACTTAAACAGATGGCTACACCCTCAATAGCACAACCACTCTCCCTGTGATGAGGAACACTCTAGGGCCCTAGCAGCACTACCAGCTCATCAAGCTCTTACTGTATCTTACTTCTGTAGAGGAGTCTTTGGGTGAAATATCCTCCTTTAACTAAGCATTATGATGAATACTGTACATACATGGTTGGTTGAAGTTATTGAAGATGCTGCAGTAAAATGTGAGCCATATAGAATAACTGGAGCGTTAAGAGACATTCACAGATATAGATGACCTCTTACCTTTGGACATACTTTGAGATATTGATAATGAGTGATGCACACGTGCTAGGACAAGACAGATCAGTCTAATAGTACCAGAGCATAATTGATCAAATTGTTGTAATTTAGTCTACATTAAATGCCCAATTTTATCATTATATCAGCTCAGAAAGACATAGTTTGCCCATTAGAGTGTTGACAGTGAGGGTTATTACATTACCGCAGCACATCCACCTGTAGAGAAACCGCTTCACTAAATGCTCTGCTATACTGTGATGGCTGACTGTCACGCCCTGGCTCTGGGGACTCTTAAATGTTGAGCCAGGGTGTGTAGTTTCTATGTTAAGTTTTTCTATGTTTAGTTTCTAGATCGTGTAGATCTATGTTGGCCAGGGTGGTTCCCAATCAGAGGCAGCTGTAGCTTGTTGTCTCTGATTGGGGACCATACTTAGGCAGCCTTTTGGCACCAGTCTGTGTGGGATCTTGTTCCGTATAGGTATGTTATTAGTCTACCTTGGACTTCACGTATCGTTTCTTTGTTGTTTTGTTCGTGTTCAGTACGTTAATAAATATGTACGCTTATCACGCTGCGCCTTGGTCCGTCTCATCCGTAAATGATCGTGACAGAAGATCCCACCAAATGAGGACCAAGCAGCGTGCCCAGGAAGAGAGAATAGCGATGTCTCAGGTGGGCAAATGGTGGTCATGGGAGGAGATATTCGCGGGGAAAGGGCCATGGGCGAAGGTAAATGCCCAGGCAGGAGTGGAGAAACGGCACCAACCGTGCCGACGACGGACACCCGAGAGGCAACCCCAATACATTTTTTTGGGGGGGCACACGGCGTGGACGACGAGGCAGCAGGAGGCAGCGACAGGGCGAATCTGCAGTCTAGGAGAGGAGGCCACCAGGTTACGGGGGCTATTGGTCCAGAGGGAGCAGGAGTTAATTGGTCAGAGGGAGGAGCTACAGGAGGCGATAAGGGAGAAGGAGAGTGTAGAGGCACGGCGAGAGGAGCTGGTTAGGCAGCAGAAGGAGCGGAGGTTTATAAGGGAACCCAGTCCCGCTCCTCGCACCAAGCAAGTGGTGTGTGTCGCCAGTCCGGTCCGGCCCGTTCCTGATCCCCGCACTAAGCCAGTGGTGCGTATTCCCAGTCCAGCCCGGCCTGTTCCTGTCCCTTGCACCAAGCCAGTGGTGCGCATCGCCAGCCCGGTCCGGCCTGTTCCTGTCCCTCGCGCCAAGCCAGTGGTGCGCGTCGCCAGCCCGGTCCGGCCTGTTCCTGCCCCTCGCACCAAGCCAGTGGTGCGCGTCGCCAGCCCGGTCCGGCCTGTTCCTGCCCCTCGCACCAAGCCAGTGGTGCGCGTCGCCAGCCCGGTCCGGCCTGTTCCTGCCCCTCGCACCAAGCCAGTGGTGCGCGTCGCCAGTCCGGTACGGCCCGTTCCTGCTCCCCGCACCAAGCCAATGGTGCGCGTCGTCAGCCCGGTCCGGCCTGTTCCTGTTATGTTTATGGGGCGCGGTCGGAGTCCGCACTTTTGGGGGGGGGGGGGGGGGGGGGGGGTACTATGTTTTTCTATGTTTAGTTTCTAGATCGTGTAGATCTATGTTGGCCAGGGTGGTTCCCAATCAGAGGCAGCTGTAGCTCGTTGTCTCTGATTGGGGACCATACTTAGGCAGCCTTTTGGCACCAGTCTGTGTGGGATCTTGTTCCGTATAGGTATGTTATTAGTCTACCTTGGACTTCACGTATCGTTTGTTGTTTTGTTCGTATTCAGTACGTTAATAAATATGTACGCTTATCACGCTGCGCCTTGGTCCGTCTCATCCGTAAACGATCGTGACACTGACACATACTGTATCTGCCCTAAGTATGATTGCAGCTTCATAACATTATGTGGTTTGGTAAATAGGAAAGTATATTGATGCGTTGTATTTCAACTTTACTTTGAGCTATGATGTAGGCTAAATCAATTGCAGTTAATCATTGTGTGTCTTTAACCATGATATCAAAGTGGTGTTGGGTCAACAAAGCTTACTTCAATGTTCTTACAGTGAAGGAATGTAGAATAGATGATACAGCTCATTGTGAGGTTTGTCTTCAAAGAAGCCTGACATGGTTGTTTTATCCCTGGTTCAAGGGTACAACGTAATAGTCTGCTTCCGTATGTTTGGCCTTTGAGTTTACTGATATGACTCAACAGCCGAACATTACTTGAAAATTGAAATGGTAGAAACTAAATGTAAAGAAAATGTGTGTATAGCTGATATTTCTGTCAAAAAGAGACTATGGACACATGCCACTGAAGTGTGAGTATAGCCTTGGGGCCACTCCTTTCCCAAAACACGCACATGTACACACGTACACACACACAATCAACCTGGGTGATGCCTCTGGAGGAGGGGGTTGGGTATTTTAGTCATGTGCCACAGAAGAAGTGACCTATTGGGCAAACCCAGCACTAAAAACCATCCAAGCATCTCTGAACTGCCCTGACCAGCGCTCTCTCTCTCTCTCTCTCGCTCTCTCTCTCTCTCTCTCTCTCTCTCTCTCTCTCTCTCTCTCATAGCTGTCCTCTCCCTCTTGCACTCTGTCCCCTCTCATTCTTCTCCACCCCATTCTGTATTTATATCTTTCCTTCTAATGATCTTTGCCTGTCTGCCTCTTTATCTCTGTCTGTGTCATGCTGACCCTCTCTGTGCCATGATGATACAGTATATTCACACAGGAGCAGCTGAGAGTTTGAGATTCCTGAGTTTATCAGAGACAGATGACCTTATCCTAAGTGACATGCACACACGCACGCACGCACGCACGCACACACACACACACACACACTCGCGTACAAACACACACGTACAAACAAACACACACACACTCCTGCATCTCCTCCACAGTGACAGAGGGGCAGAGACACATCTGTCCAGGCTCAGAGAGCATCTGGGCTGGGGTGGTGTCTGTTCCTTTGGGGGTGTCTGAGACACAGGAAAAGCCAGCAGAAAGAGGCCAAGGTGGGAACACACTCTCCTGTTGCCAATCTACGACATATCTCCTCTCCTGCCATTTCCTGCCAATGATCCATGGATCAACTGCAAGTTTTGTACTTTTTACAGTACAAATGACCTCAATGCTAATGGGCAGATTGGTTAAGATAGGATGTTTATGGTTATTCACCAGAGATTTACTGTCTCTGTCTGTCTGTCTGTCTGTCTGTCTGCAGTACATAGGCTTACCACACATTATAAAGCACGCACGCACACTTGCGCACATGCACACAAGGTTGAAAATAAATGCAGAGCATATGCCAGGAGTCCTGGCAAATTAAGCAAACATCTGGCCAGACTCTGCGAGTTCATTTAGCCAATGAGCTGTGGCAGGTTGCTCCAGGGCGTGCATGGGTATGGTGAATTGGTAAATGGTGTTTTGGCACAGCCCAGGCCAAGCTCATTTGCTATAGACTGCAGCCGTTTAAAGAGGCCATTTTGTTTTCACAGTTGTAATTGTTGTACAATATGTTAGGATCCAAATATAGTACCTCTAATTTGGTGTGGAAGAAGTTCCCAAAAGGGATCTG